AGAGACATAGGGGCATGTATGTGTGTGTGTGTATAAGCATGTGTGTGTACATGTGTGTGTACATATGTATGTGTGCCCAAGGGCATGTGTAGCTGTGTGTGTGCAGTGTATGTGTGTGTGTGTGCCTGTGAGTGTGTGTGTGCCCGTGTGTGAGTGTGTGGGGGGTGGGGTGGGTGCCTGTACACTGCATGTGTGTATTTATATGTGCGTGTGTAATATGTGTGTGCCCTTGAACATGTGTATGTGTCTCCACGTGTGTGTATATGCGGATGTACCTGTGTGCCCGCGTATGTGCATATACGTGTGTGCGTACGTATGCCCATGAGCCTGTTCTGTTCATTCCCTCTGGGGCATCTGGCATTGGCCACTGTCGGCAGACAGGATACTGGGCTAGATGGACCTTTGGTCTGACCCAGTGCAGCTGTTCTTATGTGTATGTACACATCTGTGTGTGTGTGTGTGTGTGTGTGTGTGTGTGTGCAGGAATATATGTGTGTGCCCGTGTGTGTGCCCAGCTGCATGTGTGTGTGCCTATGTGTGCTTATGTGTGTGTATCTGTGGGGACCTGTGTGTGCCCACATGCATATATGTGTGGTCACACATACCTATATATGTGCCCATGTGCATGTGTAAAGGTGTGTGCCTGTGTGTGTGTGTGTGTGTGTGTGTATCTGAGTATGCCCGGGCATGTATCTGTATGTGTGTGTGTGTGTAGCTGTGTGTGCACTTGTGTATGTGTGTGTATCTGTGTGCGCCCATGTGTGTGTATCTGTGTGCGCCCGGGTGTGTGTACTTGTGTGTGCCTGTATCCGTGTGTGTGGATTTTTGTGCCTGTGTAGAGGGGGAATCACAAAAATGCCATTGAAATTGGTCGGGGCGCACTGAGGACAGTCCGCCCCGGTTGACAGTCACGCTGGGAGCAGGGGGACCCGTCTTCCGCCACGGCCCCCGTACCGCACCCCCCATTTTTCCGGGGCCCTCGGCTCAGTCCTGCCCAGGGCTGGGGGCTGTTGCCCTCTTGTGGCCAAAAGGCCCCAGGGCTGTACACCCTGAGAGCGGAGCTGCCCAGCGTTACCCCAGGGGGCTCTGTCCGGCGGGAGGTAACACAGCCAGGGCCTCACCCCCACTCCCATTACGCAGCAGCTCACCAGCCCAGCCTACTGTGCCCCCCCCAGCTGTGTTCAGGGGTCCCTGTGCACGGGGGGGGGGGCAGGGCACCCACCTGGGGCCTTAGTACGGCCGGTTGGCATCTTTCGGTCGCTTGAGCTGCACTTTCAGGCGCTTCATGCCGATCTGGAAGCCGTTCATGGCCTGGATGGCAGCCTGGGCGCTGGCGGGATTGTCAAAACTTACGAACCCTGGGGAGGGGGCAGGTGGGGGGCAGAGAGAGGGGGTGGGCGCCGGGGAGGGGTAGAGAGGCAGGGGGAGAGGAGGGAGGCAGAGAGAGGCAGAGAAGGCTGAGTGGCCCTGGGAGACCCAACTAGCCCTTTGTTCATGGCTAGGGCCGTACCCCCGTGGGTGCCTGGCTCGGGGTGGGCAGCTCCGTACCCGGAGGCTCAGCTTGGCACCAGGGCTGCGGTATGCCCAGCTGCCCCGTCCTTGGGGGCCAGGAACCCGGGATCTCCTCCCCGAAGCTCAGGGTCTGGGGGCATCTATCAGTGGCAGGTAGAGGGTGCCCGACGCAGGGTTTGCTCCCCGGTGCCAGCTGCGGTGGGTGACAGGAGATGGGGCTAGGAGAGCCCTGGTCTGGGCAGATCCGCTGGGGAAGCCTCAGCGTCAGCCCCTGTCTACACGAGGGGTCGCAACAATCCTTTGCCTGGGAGGTCGGCCCCTCGCCTCGGTGCTCAGCGGGCCGGCCGCTGGCCCACAATGCAGCAGGAAGGGGCCGGGGAAGCCCATTGGCTGGCCTTACCGAAACATTTGCTCTGATTGGTCGCCCGATCCACGAAGACTTTGGCAGAGATGACGTTCCCGAAGGGCAGGAACATCTGCAGGATCTCGGAGTCAGTGAACTCCTGGGGCAGGTGGTAGATGAAGATGTTACAGCCCTCGGGGCCTGCGGGGAGGAGGCGGGTGAGAGTGGGCGGGTGCTCAGGACACGCCACACCCTTGGATTTCCCTTAGATGCCCCCATGCTGGGCCCCCGTTCTAGATCCCCCACACACCAGGCACCATTCTAGATACTACACACTGGGCCCCGTTCTAGATCGCACACACTGGGCCCCATGCTGGGCCCCCATTCTAGATCCCACACAGTGAGGCCCCATTTTAGATACTACACACCGGGCCCCTTTCTAGATCCCCCATGCTGGGCCTCCTGTTCTAGATCCTCCACGCTGGACCCCGCAGAGCCTTCTGCTCTGGACCTCCCATCCTGGACTCCTCTATACCCTTCACTCTGGATACCCTAGTCTGGACCCCCCATTCCAGACCCCCCTTGCTCTGGACTCCCTGTTCTAGACCACTCTATGTCCTCCAACTGTGGCCCCCCACATCCTCGACTCCTCTAGGTCCCATGGCTCTGGACCCCTGTAGATCCAACAGTCTGGACCCCCATTCTATACCTCTCGTTCTGGACTCCCCAGTGTGGACCCCTCTAGAGCCCCCTGCTCTGGACCCCGTGTTCTAGACCACTCTAGATCCTCTCATTCTGGCCCCCGTTCTGGATCCCTGTAGATCTCCCATGCTCTGGACTCCCTCTGTGAAGTGTTGGGGTCCTCAGGGAAGATGTGGGAGTCCTGAGGTGCACAGTGAGGCAGGTGCTTTGTGACCCCAGGCCTACTGAGAGGTGTTGGGGCAGGGCTCCTGGCATTGACAAGGGATGTGAGGGGCCCGGAGCACAGCTGGGGGTGGTTTCAGGGCGACAGGGTCTGGGGGTGCTGGGGGGATGATATGGGGGGGCGGTGCCTAGGAGGTGCTGGGGGGGACGATGTCGGGGGGCGGTGCCCAGAGGGTGCTGGGGGGAGGATGTCGGGGGGGCGGTGCTTAGGGGATGCTGGGGATGATGGTGGGGGGGTGGTGCCCGAGGGAGTGCGTGGGGGGAGGATGGTCGGGGGGCGGTGCCGTAGGGGGGTGCGTGGGGATGGAGTGGTCGGGGGGGTGTGCCGTAGGGGAGT